AAATGTAGTGGAATCTGACACTAGAATGCAGGAGGGGGGGGGGGCTGTTTCCGAGGGAGCCAAGAGGCAGATCACACCATGTGCATCTGATGGTTATGCAGCCTGTGCTTGAGCCAGGCAAGATTAAAGTCAGGAACCCAAGGAACCAAGAAGGCTTAATTGCTGAGTAGTTTCTTTATTGCTTTATCATTTTTAATACTATTTTAATTATTTATTTGCAGCCTTTCGTTTAGTGACTGTTCAAAGTTACAATGGCACTGGAAAAAAGCGATTTATGACCATTTTTCACATGGAAGCCCGTTGCAGCATCCCCAGGGACACACGATCAAAATTTGGACTCTTGGCAACTGGCTCATATTTATGACGGTTACAGTCTCCCGGCGTCACGTGATCACTTTTTGCGACAAGCAAAATCAATGGGGAAGCCAGGTTCACTTTTACAATCGTGTTACTAACAACTGCAGTGATTCGCTTAACAACTGTGGCAAGAAAAGTCATAAAAGGGGGAAAACTCATTTAACAACTGTATTGCTTAGCAATAGAAATTTTAGGCTCCATTGTGGTCGTAAGTCGAGGATTACCTGTATCAGGTAAATACTGTGTAAGTTTTATGCATGATCCCTTCCGGGCATCTTTCTGCAAACCAAGGACCCACTGCTGATCTGCCTCTTAGCACCCTGGGAAAGAGCTCCTGCATTCATTCCACCACAATGGCTCAGGATTGGCTGTCCTGATGGTAGCGACTCAGGGATACACGAAAAGTGCTCAAGTGGTCCTTTAGAGGCAGACTCCTGGGTGCATAAAACCAGTGATTTGGGAAATGTTCTTTCCTTGGAGGAGGAGGTGCTTCCTCCCTCAGAAATCAAATCCACCTCTCCAACTGGGCAGAGGCAGGATCCCCACAACTTCCATTTCAATACCTGGGGTTGGATGCTCTTCAGTGGAGATGTCAAACCCAAGACCCACCAAATCTAAACATGCTTTGCCAACAAATGATGGCACACTGTTGGTTTTTAATTCCAAAGGTCACACGGGTATAAATATCTATCTAAGGAGGAGGCAGGCCCTACACATACAACTCTCTTTAGCCATTTCTCAACTCTCCCATAGAAGGGTGATGGGCCAATTACAATGAACTTGAAGACCCGCGCCTGAGCCATGAATGGCGTACTGAGGAAAGCTTGGAGTCTGACCAGGTTCAGTCGCTGAGTCATAGTCTTTTCCCAAGAACCAGAAAGGGCTGTAGGGAGCCAAGTCTGCTGAGTGGGAATATCCCCATGGGCAGGTGATAGGGTCAAGGTGGACTTTTGAGGATATTGGACGTAAGTGAGATTCCAAATAAAGAACCAGATGTAGACTTCCATATAGCTAAGGCTCTGCATGTTTACTCAGAATTAGGACCTATTGAGGCCTTACTCCAGATAACGGCAGGAAAGAAAACTGGGCTGCTTAAAATATCTGCTACATAGAACAAACAGGCTTCTTAAGAGTTGTACCTTGTCCCCTGCCACAAAAAGGTTTTTTTTTAAATCATTTGAGCAGACATGTATCAGTCTGCACAGCAAATGTGTTTTAAGAGAGGATGCATTTAGCTTCAAAAATTCCTGAAATTTGTCATAATTTACAAATGACATTACCATTATACATCAAACTATAATGATTTTTTACTAGCATTAATTTCCTCAGTCATTATTTACAATTCAAATAAAATGGGTGAGGGGGAATAAATATGGTTGGCTGCTCCTGTTAGCACATCCTTTAGACAATTTCCCCCTCTTATGATTTAAGGCATCTTCCTAACATCACCCAGCCATTTTTTGGAAGATAAAAAATCCATCCTCAATACTGTTATTTTGATATTATATTGCATCTTTGACTCTAAAAGTTGATCTTGTGAACTATTAATACCGCTTTATAATGCCTTGGTAAGGCCACGCTTGGAATATTGCATTGTTTTGGTTCACCACTATGTAAAAAGATGTGGAGACTCTAGAAAGAGTGCAGAGAAGAGCAACAAAGATGATTAGGGGACTGAAGGCTAAAAGATATAAAGAACATTTGCTGGAATGTCTAGTTTAATGAAAAGAAGGACTAGGGGTGACATGATAGCAGGGTTCCAATATCTCAGGGGCTGCCACAAAGAANGAGGAGGCCTAATCTGTGGGATCTAATCGGTCTATTGGAGGTAATTGGCAGCAGGCGGTCTCTCAAGTACCCAGGTCCAATACCATGAAGGGCTTTATAAGTTTGATCTCATGGCTGCTACCTATGGTTCCCCGGAGAGTTGCAGCCCAGTTGCGGTAGACCTAAGTTTGACCAAGGGCTTAGTGCTGGATGCTGTAACGTAACAATGGATTAACCACCATGGTTCATGTATAGAGTGCATGTCTTACTTCGAACGGGAGAAGGTACTACAGCACAGACTGAACTGCCAATCGCTTTGCTGATTCTGCTGCTCTTTCTCAAATTAAGATAATGCAACTGATAAATCTATAGATCCCTCCCTGGTTTTCTGGAGAGTAACAGGAAAAGAGGGGAGAAATAACTTCAGTCTTGCAAGATTCTGTTAACGTAACCCTGCAATAAAAATAGAGTTAATTTGACCTGATACATTACTATACATATAAAAATAGTTCCCAGGTAAACCAACAACAAAGTTTAACAAAGTTTGGTGTTTCAGGCCAAATTAGTTGCAAACAGACATAGAAGATGAAATATTCTGAGCCTGGTCTGCCAGGGGAAGAAGCAATTATTGTTGTGTGAGAAGCCACCACCCCCTCCTAGAAGAATGAATATTAAAAAAAGGCAGATTATTATATTTCCCAAAGGGAGAAATGGAAAAACATGTTGGTTTTTTTAAAGAGGCAGAAAGCAACCTCCCACTTTCCTTAATAGCTCCAGCAGATACTGGGGCCAGCTTTTAGAAATGCAGATTTAGTAATCCATCCAAGACAGGATATATTGAAACAAAGGCAGAATGGTAGGATTGGAAGCAGCCATCACTCCAGATCCAACACAAGACAAAGCCATTAAGCCACAATAGGAATTATTGCATCACCCTCAGAGCAGTCCAAAGCTCAACCAAACGTAGCTCAGACAAACACTTAGGATTTGTACTTTGCCTATAGAGCCAGCTATGACCCCTACATAACCCCTACATCGCCCCATGGGAGTCTGACCACAGCCAATAGAATACATGTTCTTGCACAGGAACAGGAAGCTCAAGTGCAAAGCCCAAGAGAAAGTATAACACCACCCCACACCCACACACTCAATTCCATGTGGTCACCTGCCCAGAACGTACGTGGTTCCGCTTCATTATTAAATCATCTTTCCAATCAGCCTCCATATTCCCAGTGTCTTTCTCCCTGCTTGGAACTGAACCAGATGGATATTTCTTCTAACAGTTGTAACATATTTATCAGTATAGCTCTTTACAGCATTGGACTTTCCTTTCACCACCAGATATATCCACAGCTGAGCGTTCTTTCGGCTTTGACCCAGCCGCTTCATTCTTTCTGGCGCTACTAGTACTAGCCCTTTACTCTTTCCCAATAGCATATATAACAGTGACGTGCAGTGAGGTTTATGGCTGGTGAGGCAGTCCTCTCCCCCGACACCCCATTGACTAAAGCATTTTCTTTCGCCCGCCTGAGCCTAAAATACTTTCTTTTGCCCACCTGTGCTCGTGGCAGAGCTCGGGTGGACTGCCGCGAGCACAGGCGGGCGAAAGAAAGTGACTTTCTTTCACCCGCCTGAGCTCGCGGCAGCCCGCCCAAGCTCTGCCGGGAGCACCGGCAGGCGAAAGAGACTTTCTTTCGCCCGCCTGTGCTCGCCTCGCAGCAGAGTTCAGGCGGGCTGCCACGAGCTCAGGCGGACGAAAGAAAGTGCTTTAGTCAGTGGGGTGTTGCGGGACAGGAGATAATGCCTGAGCATTGCATTTATTAAAGAAAAAAGAAAAAAAGGAAATTTGAAGGAAAAGAGGGAGCGTGGGGTGGGGGCATCAGAAACTGAGAGAGGAGGAAGAGTGAGCGCGACGCTGAAGCTTTAAACAGAATGACAGAGTTGAAGCCTCTAAAAATGCTCCCTCTACTATGAGGCAGGAGAACTGCGTGCCTCAACTACCTCAGGATTTTTTAGGCTTTTAACCCTCGCTTAACTCTGCTCGAGCNGTTAGAACAATTAATCAGTGGAACAACTTACCTCCAGAAGCTGTGAATGCTCCAATACTGGAAGTTTTTAAGAAGATGTTGGATAACTATTTGTTTGAAATGGTACTATAGGGTATCCTGCCTAAGCAGGGGGTTGGACTAGAAGATCTCCCTTCCAACTTGGTTATTCTATTCCTATCCTATCCTGAAGAAATGCCCTAAGAAAGTGGTTTTTAAACTTTTCCTTCTTTAGCCAAAGCCACTTATCAGACTGCCCTTTTTACCCAACTCACTTAAAACACTTTTAAAGGCAATGGTTCTGAACTTGTGGTCCGCGGGCCCCTGGGAGTCACAATGTTGTGACAGGGGGTCCGCAACGGCTTGACGAAATATTATGATTTGAATCTTGAATTAAGTTTTGGTAGTGTGTGGCCATGGTCTATGACCACAAAAGATCTTTAAAGGGAGTCTATGGTGAAGAAAAGGTTGAGAACCACTGCTTTAAGAAAATGTAAATATTCTTGTTGTGATTGGGTAGTGGGTTCATGTGTCATCACCCAAAGAAAAAGTCACTTTTACCCAGTTCTAGGTAATTTACCCAGGTTTGGGATGCACTGCCCTAAGAGCGGCACATTAGATACATAAAGAATCTCCATCTAAAGTAGCAATTCCAGAAAACAGCCCAGGGCAATTGGGTGTGTCCAGCATTTGATTAATTCATGATGCATTCTGGAAAATGGATTTTATGCTCCACTCTTCCAAAGAAAATCACAGCCCAGGAAAATTTTCTGCCCCAGATTCTTGAGCCAGGAGAAGAAAGTCAGCTGCTTACCATCAGCAAGTGCCAGAACAGCAGCTTCTCCTCCAATGTTCCGTAATGCAAACATAGCTTGATAGCGCTCAAAGAGTGACTGTGACTCATCCAGCAAGGTGAGCCTCAGCTTCCCCACGTCTTTCTCCTCCGCGGGAGGTGCTGGATCCACAGAGTGGTAAGGGTTGACGGCAGAATTTGCCTTGTGCTCCTGAAACCATTCCAGCCTCTTCACAGCCAGCTGACAGGTCTCTGCTACCTACACAGGAGAGCAAATGGACATGAGAAGATAGTTTTTGCCATGGTTCAGAAGTCTTCAAGGAAAGAGAAGGACTAGGGTGCTAATGGTAAAGGAGTTGCAAGCTGGTGGTCAATGCTTTCAAATTAAAATTCAATTGGCTTTACAACTTTCCCCTAAATGTAGGATTAAAAAGTATTAATAAATAATAGATCTAAAATTAAACAGGAAGACATTCCAAAATAATTTGTTTTCAAAAGGCAGAACTCTCTTTCTCATTCTAACAGTTTTAAAAATACCATGAATAGGCAAAGGCGGGGGGGGGAGGGGGGATGGAGGATCATAGAAGAAATCAATCCAGAGTTCTCACTCAAGGCTCAAATATTCAGATTCAAATATTCAGATTCAAATTATGAAAACTCAGGTCCTTTGAGATGTCTATATTTCTGGGAAACGTGGAAGAAAAGAGAAAAAGAGGACAACAAGCAGCAAGGTAGATGAACTCAAGTTCCAATGATGGATGGGTTGAAAAATCTGAAGTACCGGATGCGGGACACATAATCCAGGAGATGACACAAAGCTGCTTTTTCAAGAGGCAACTGGAGTTTCTGGTTTTTCTTTGACGAAGTTTCACTTCTCATCCAAGAAGTTTCTTCAGTTTCAGCTTGAGAAGCAAAACGTCTTCAAAGAAAAACTAAAAAGTCCAGTTGCCTCTTGAAAAAAAGCAGCTTTGGGACAACCATGACGTAGATGAGACTGAGAATCTCCATAGACAATCCTGGACAAGGTGTTTATTATGAGTCAACAACACCAACATCATAAATTAAAGAGAGTTATGTTTCAAAATGTTTTATTATTCTACTTTGGAACCACGTATCACATTTTTCAATTCAGCAATTTTGAAGGAGTTATTGGGGTGACGCAATGGTTCAGCAGTTAAAGCAGGGGTGTCAAACTTATGATGCGTGGGCTGCCTGCGTCACATGCTGCCCCGCCCCCACCTGGTTTTGCAAAAGGGCGGGGGGGAAGTCCCGATACATCATGTGACGACGCAGTCACGACACAAGTTTGACACCCCTGGGTTAAAGATATTGGGCTTGTCGGCTGGAAAGCCAAGACCCGAGAGTTGTACGACAGGTTGAGCATTCGTTCTTGCCCTAGCTTCTGCCAACCTAACAGTTTGAAAGTATGCAAATGCAAGTAGATAAATAGGTATCAGTTCGGTGGGAAAGTAATAGCACCTTGTGATGTCATGCTGGCCACATGACTATGGAAATGTCTTTGGACAGCGCTGGCCCTTGAAATGGAGATGAAACTGCCCCCTATAGTCAGCAATGACTAATGGAGTAAAATCTACAAGGACTCTTTTATAGGAGCTATTGATTATCCCCACTCCCTTATTTACCTCAACAACAGGATCTTCAGAATATTGTTTCAATATATCAAGTACTTTTGGATTTCCAATGGCACCAAGAGCTTCACCTATGGAAAACAAAAAAAGTAGGCGAATGAACACAGGTCAGTGACGCAAGAATCCGTTGACATCTACAATCAATACAAAGATAACCATAGTAACAAATCTCTTGAATCCTTCAATCAACTGGTACTCAAAGGTTGCTAAATTAAAAAAAAACACAAAATATAATCAGAATAATTATATTCAAACCAATACAGCATAACATAAAGGTACAATCTACCAAAATTGGTAACTGAAACAAATTTATTTCAAGTACTGAAGGAAAGGAACAGATGCAGATGTGTGGAAAAACCATTTACCCATACTAGCCAACAGGAATTATTGTATGCCCTTTTTCCTAAGAAGAGAGGTACCGTATTTTTCGGACTATAAAATGCTCCAGTGTATAAGACGCACCAAGATTTCAAAAAGATAAATCAGGAAAAAAAGTTTTTGTCCTCCCTGGCCCCCAGGAGCACTCTACAGGCTTCAGCAGGGCTTGGGGAAGGGAAACATGTCCGTTTTTCACCAAAACAGGGGCATTTTTCCCTTCCCTCAGCCCTGCTGAAGCTGCAGAGTGCTTCTGAGGGAGTGGGGGTGACAAAAACGCCCCCGTTTTTTGCCCATTTTTCACAAAAATGGGATGCAGGGGCAGGGATTTGGGAGGCCAAAAATAACTGTATTCAGTGTATAAGACACACCAACATTTCCACACTCTTTTAGGGGAGAAAAGGTGCATCTTATACTCATAAGGTATATAAATAAAGTAATAAGCTATATAAAAGTAAAATATTGTATTTAAAATCTTCCCCATCAACACTAAAATGCTAGTTAAAACAACAGATATTTAAAAATATTTTGATCTTAAGGAAATGTTAAATGGTTGTATTTTGCGCTCCCGCAGAAAACTGGGTAACATTGGGACATGCCATGTTCTATTTAGAGGATTGGATGCTCCCTTGTGATGGTTCTAACTTCAGACCCCTTAAAATTGACCTTAGCTAATAGCAGGTCACCATGAAAGGGAACAAACATCAATGCTCTAGGGCAGGGGTTTCCAATTTGGCAACTTTAAGACTAGTGGACTTCAGCTCCAAGATTTCCTCAGCCAGCATTGGGTTGAAGTCCACAAATCTTAAAGTTGCCAAGACTGGAGATCCCTGCTCAAGGGCAGTGTCTCTCAACACACATCTTAAAGTTGCCAAGGTTGAAAGACACGGTTGCTGCTGGTCGTAACTTATAAAGCCCTTCATGGTATTGGACCTGGGTACTTGAGAGACCGCCTGCTGCCGATTACCTCCCATAGACCCGTTAGATCGCACAGGGTCGGCCTCCTCCGGGTTCCNGCACAGAATGCTGTTACCTTCCCACCAAAGGTGGCCCCTATTTTTCTACTTGCATTTTTTATGTGCTTTCGAACTGCTAGGTTGGCAGAAGCTCACTCCGTTACGTGGGGCTAGGGATTTGAACTGCCAAACTTTCTGATTGACAAGCTCAGCGTCTTAGCCACTAAGCCATCCCTTGGGTCTTACATAGCTGACCCCAAATCCTTCCCAGCATGGCCCTCAGATTTTCCCACCCAATCCTGTTCCATACCTTGTCCATGCGAAAAGGGAGCGAAGACAACTCCTACAAACACAGTCAAGTAGAAAAACAAGTTCATTGTCGTGGGTTTTTCAGCCTGGAAGCCTTGTGTCACAATTGCCTGGGCACCTTCCTTGCTACTAGAAGGAGGGGATGGGTCATTTCCCTTGCAAACCTGGAGTATGGACTTGGAACCAGAGGGCACTTGATAATGGCTCCTCATTAGGGCTTTATAAAACTGATACCAAGCTGCTGTGCCTTGATATGAGGAAAATGTATAACTACTTAGATCAATGGAAAGGCGGGCGACACCCTGAGGACGGCAGAACAACCAGAGTGGCTTAAACCTCAGGAGACAAATGAGAAAAAGCAACAGGGGTGTCAGAGATAAAAAAATATGCTGATTGAGACATCAAGGGCATTTTTTTATTGGGAGGGAGGGAAGTAGAGAGAGGCAATGGAGGGTGTTAAAGATAAAATATACTGCCTGAGTCATCAAGAATAATTGTTATTGTAAAGGGAGGGGGGGAGAGAGGGAGGGGAGAGAGAGGAGGGACAAACAATGGGGGTGGGAGGTTAGAGATAAAATATGCTGACTCAGCATTAATTGTTATTGTAACGGAAGGAAGGGAGGGAGGGAGGAATACAATACAATACAATAGCAGAGTTGGAAGGGAACTTGGAGGTCTTCTAGTCCAACCCCCTGCCTAGGCAGGAAACCCTATACCGTTCCAGACAAATGGCTATCCAACATCTTCTTAAAGACTTCCAGTGTTGGGGCATTCACAACTTCTGGAGGCAACTTCTGTCCCACTGATTCATTGTTCCCACTGTCAGGAAATTTCTCCTCAGTTCTAAGTTGCTTCTCTCCTTGATTAGTTTCCCCCCATTGCTTCTTCCCTCCCTCCTTCCCTCCCTCCCTCCCTCCCTCCC